TTTTTAACATGTAACCAGGAGACAACTGCTAATGCATTCCATGTATGTCCCACATCTTCATCACTGATAAAGAATCAAGACAACTGCAATTCTTACACAATCTACACTGTTCAACCACCATGGAGAGATTAGACACTTCAATTGTAAACTAAAATTAGGCAAACCTTCATTATAATCACTGAGATATCAATCCTACATGTTTATAGAAATAAAACAATGGAAATAAACAATGTCATGGAAAATTAAAATAATCATAAAACAGCAGAAAACTGGGATTTCTTTAGAATCAATTTTATTACTGTATAAATTACCTGTACTAAATTGAAGTGCCAATAAATGTCAATAACAAAGCTATTGTTGAAAGTAGACCACAAGGAGCTCAGTTTGCATAGAAAATAACCAACATGTGAAGAGTGTCCTTTGGTCAGATGAAACAAAGAAAGAAAAATTTTACATGAGGCCAAAAAAGCATGGGGGTGGTGGTATTATGCTGTGGTAATGCTTGGAAGGGTTGACAATAATGTCTGTTTTAGCAGATGAAACTGTACAGGCCAGAAGCTGATCAAGGTTATTTCCAGTGTCTGCTTAACTTCACCCACAGGAACACTCCGCTAATGACTCACACAGATGGTGGCTGCAGACACAAGCATCAGTACTGCGCACGCAACAGGAAGCATTTTTGTATTTTTCAGAACACCACTCATTGAATGATTAGGAGCATGTCCACATTAAGGTTTGTCTCATGGAATGTGCATGGAGCTGAGTCCAAAGAGAAGAGATTAAAAATAGCTAATTAATTAAAGCTTTTGCAGGCAGACATCTCTTTACTAGAGGAGACTCATCTGTCTGCAGCCGATGCTCTGACCATAGTAGGGTTTTGTGGAGTTAAGGCCAATATATGCTTCTGATGCCTATCCTCTGCGTGACCACGGCCCTCACGCAGAGGTTCTGCAACCTTTGTCACACACCTCAAAATAATCCTGAGTACACGTCAGATGGTCACAAACCCACGCAGACCTCAAGCGGAAGTGCGTAGACAAAAAGCAGCTGTGATTGGTCCTTGGTATGCCTTAACAGTTTGATGAGTAATAGAAGTCTGGATCGGTGTCTGTTGTCCTGCTCTGATCAGGACTGATGTCAAACAGCAGCAGCTCAGTGTTGGTCTCTCCTCCATCCAAACTGAACACTCCGCTCCAAAGGACCTGCTGTCCTCCTGGGATGAGCGAGGAGGCCAGCAGTCTGCTGCCTTCACCTCCATCAGAGCTACTGAGAGTCACTCCGCAAAGAGAATTTAGAGTCTGAGCTTTGCTGGTTTCAGCCTGAAGCCAAATCAGACGGACTTTGTTGGTTTTAGCTCCTGATGCCACATTGGAGAACAGAAACACTGTTGATTTGATCTGAAATCCATCCACAAAATCTACACCAGCTTCAGTTTGGATGTTAGGCATTTCCCCTTTTTCATACAAAGCAAATATCCCCCCAGACTGTTTCTGATCTGTGTTTTGAAGGTTGATTGTCTTTAAGTCAGATGCACACTTGGTTTCCTCTCTTTTCTCTCTGTGATTCTGGATGGCGGTCAGGATGTACGTCTCAGTCTGAACTGGGTCCTTCTTCACGTCCACCAGAAAGCTGACAGAACCTCTGCTGTTCCTCTGAGGTCCCACCTGGATGTGTTCTCTGTAAACCAGCTTAGAGATGTCCCTCAGGTCCAGAACCTCACAGTAACCACAGCCTTTGTCTGTCGCACCGCAGATGATCAATGTCCCATTGTTCACAAAAGGTAATAAAACATTTATGTTGAAAGTCGCATCCCAGGCTTCATTCATTGAGACCCGATGAAACTCCTCTCCGTTCCGTTGACGCGGGTTCTTTAGGATCCCTCTTAGGTTCAGGCTGTGGATCAGAATCAGGTTGTGGCTCAGCTGGTAAAGCTTCTCCTCTGTAGAGATATAAACAGAGTCATGGCTCACTGAGAGCTGCTGGAGGTTCCCTTCAAAACTGAAAGCTCTGTCCTCCTCCAGAGCCAGAGAAGGTTCTCCCCAGATGGAGCAAAGCAGAGCGGGCAGCAGGATCATCTTGCTTTGACTTTGGTCTCTGATTCTCTGCAGAGATGCAGAAAAAACCGCTGCAGCTCTGCTGAAAGGAGAAGTCCTGAAAGTGAAAGGAAATGAAACCGAAAATAAAAACACATCAAATGATCTATGAAGATTTTAATAACCACGTTTTACACAATTGAATTTATCTGATAAATTTTCTTCTTTATATGTAAAAAGCTCCTCTATAAAATGTCACTTGTTGACTGTTTGGACTTGGTATATTTACCCGTTTGAAATCAGCATTTTCAATTTTTATTCTTATCAATCTTTTGTTCCAGACTTAGAAAACACAATCCAGGCATTAAAGGCTGCCACGGCTCCAACTACTGTGACTTTATTATTTAATAATAAGTTACGGCCTAAACCATCTGAGCCCAAAGGTCTAACTAAGCAGCAGAGTCTGTTATCCCTGAAATAACAAATCAAAAACAACAAAATACAAACAAAAAAAAAGGGAAAGAATTGTACATTTTTCAGGAGTTTTAATATAGGTTTTTGAGTTATATTGCCTTCTAGAGTCCTGATGTTCT